ATGTTTGTTTAAGCAAATAACATATGCTGTAATGTTATTGTTTCAGTTGAATAAATCTATTTAAATTGTTATTATTAAGGTAATGATTATTTTTCTCCTTCCCAAGTACAACAGAAAAGTTGTCCAAATATGAATGATTAACCTATTAAACTGGGGATAAAAAAACTAATATGAAAAGTTGTTATTCTAAAAATCTTCATCTACTTGCATATTAAAGTTATACCAGCAAGAATTAGTTTTTATGTAGAAAACTATGATTTAAATCAAGCCTTACTGACTAGTGATTTAAATCGTGATTTAAATCAGTTTGATTTAAATCAAATCCACCCTGCTTATTTTTTAAAAGTAGTCTCTTGTAAATATCTGAACAGCAACACTTTGAATAGAGGAGAAAGGGCCGGCATTAGAAGCCAATCAGCCTCTGCTGCAGTACATATGTACCAATAGGGAGAATGCTGAGAGTAGCACAGATCAGAGTAGACAAAGGACTGAAGTATACTGCTTTTCTCTAACTGCCCAATTATCAGGGGAAGTTGTGTTCCTGACTAAGCTGTGCTGCCACCATGCGGTCTGAATCATAACCCTGGCTGAACAGAATTACAAATCTTTAGTAAGGATTGGTACAACAGTGCACATATGTTTAAGTGAGTATTTAACCAATTACCCAGAATTCAGCTGTAAATGTACTTTTACCATAGCCAGTAAAAATCATATGTACTCTCCAGTGCTTCAGGAAATGGACAACCAAAGGAAAGCCCAGGGGACCAGGACAGAGGCAACCAAAAGAAGATGCTTTAGGGGTGCAGCCCTCCTCAGACGGGGAGATCAGTAGCCAGTAAAAATACCTGCAACTGTTATCTGTATAACCCCCTGACAGCATGACACAATGAGTGGGCCAGGAAACATGAGTGAATTAGGGTTCTATGTTGCTGCAACTCTCCCCCTCTAGAGGATATCCCAGCTTTACTTTTATTTTATCCTGCTCCTGTAGCGAGACACATTTTTTTTATTCCCTGATATATCACCAGGCTAGCAAAATTTTTGCAGGGAGGAGGGATCAACAAGATGCCTCATTGATGTAAACAACCCCCACCCCAGAACGACATCTCCCAAAAGCCCTTTCTCTACACACTTTGTGGGAATGATCTTAAGAACCAAAGCAGCAGCAGTGGTTGGCTTGGTGACAAATCAACCTATTCTTGCTGAAAGGGGCAGGGAAGTAATGTGATAGGTGGAGTCCTGTAGTCCAGCAGAGAAGAACTCAAACAGGGATAAAACCGATATATTGGATTTCTATGCAGCAGAAACACTGCTATCAGCCAACAACAAGAAGTTAGAAGCTCAATGGATTCCTTGCAGGATCTACAGATATTCGTACTCATAGCATTCTTAAAGCAAGAAAACACTGGGTATTGTGTGTGTGTGTGTGTATATATATATATATATATATATATATATATATATATATACATACATATATACACACACACACACACATATATATATATATATACACACACACACACACACAATCTTTTACAGAGACATACAGTATAAAAAGTAAAAGCAATTTCAGCAGGGTCTACAGCTGCTCTAAAATGCCATGGTCTTGTTTCATGTGCGACAGGTTCACTTTAAAAAAGACAGCAGCATAAAATTTATAAGAACATTCAACTAGCAAACTGCAGTGTCAATGCAGAGCACTTACACTGGTATATAACAATGCATCACAATGAGTAACAATAGCTATTCCCCCTTAAATCATACAGATGGCAGCATTAAGGGAAATGCACACAATAAATCCACAGCATACATAAAATAAAGCTGTAAGACCCCCATAATACTGACTTACAACACAAAACATCCGTCGCCAGTGTTTTAGAACGTTCTCAAACGCGCCTTTCATGAGCCCATTTACAAACCCAAAACACTAAGAACTGAGCTTCATTCTCCACTCCAAAATGAAGTAGTAATAGAACCTGTACATTGCCTGTTACTGTGAATCTGCGCTATACAAGGCAAATACTTCTTCAATAGAAAGGATAGGCTTGGTTCAACTGCAGTGGCAAACAGATTATCAAATGAGAGAACATGTATACAGCTTGTGGGTATTAAAAAGAAGAGTCTGCTGGGAAAAAAAGCACTCTGGTTTGTCTAAACACCGTATAACTAGGTCAAGTCACTTGTGGCTTGACATATTAGGACAAAAGATTGGTTGAATAACCGTTATTTTGACTTGATGTAAATTAAAGACATAAGGCAGGGAACTTGCTGAGGAAAATTATTTAACAGTGCTGGAACATATCTTCTTAAAAACAGGACAGAAAATATAACTCACTACCCAATTAGCTGAATAACATGGCTACAATTTGTTTGACTTAGTCTTCACTAATGAGCATGCCAAAGATGATTGAAGCTGCATTAGTGCGTTTTCACCTACACAGATGAGTCCTGTCCACAATGCTTTTTTATTTAGTCTTAACATTTAACTTTTCAGCTTGGACCAAGAAGGTTATATACAGAAGAATCCAATTTTAAATTTGCTGGTAGACATATGTTGTATCACTACATTTACACCAGATCTGACCACACGTCCCAAATACATGCTGGAGAAGTGGCTCTAATAGTCACATTTGGTGGTTTTGTCCTGTGACCAGATTTACTGGAGTCACATACTAGAAGCAAGTAAGAAAATATCAGGCTGTACTCTAGAAAGAGATCCATGGACTTTGTTATTCCACTGTACAAGGGAGCCTATCATTAGTTATTAAAAGTCTCTTATCCCATTCTTGGTGGTTGAATGTAGTGGTGGATATTTCTTCCACTCTCTCTTCCAAACACCACCTGCTGTATCTAAAACCACACGCATTCTCTTAAATCTTATTTAGACGCCAGGAAATCCATTCTTTTCGATCCCTGTACTCTTAAGCCGCCTCTCCTCTTTTACCTCCTACCTCATCTTAAAGGCAATCTGTATTTTGCATGTACCCAAACATATTGATCCTGCAAGTTCTCAAGGCTCTGCTCCATGTTACAGTGGCAACATTTGTTGTGTACATTCTCTTGAACTCAATAAAACTTTAAAATGGGATAAAAAGAAGGTAAAGCCCTGAAAGTCATTAAATTTTACCATAACTCCAGGACCAATTTGACCATAAAGAAATTAATTTGACCAAAATTCCATGACCAATTTGACCATAACGAATTTAATTTGACCACAACTCCGTGACCAATTTGCCCACTTAAATAATGTTTCCATTTTTCTAAGAATATACAAGGATTTAATTTGACACAGAGTTATATTAAAATCTCTCTGTTTTTTTTTATTATAGGCTGTCAACTTGACAAAAATGTAAAAAAAATAAATAAATAATATTTATATATATAATTATATATATATATATATATATATATATATATATATATATAATTTAAGATCCTTCCCACACAGTGTGTAGAGAAAGGGCTTTTGGGAGATGTCGTTCTGGGGGGTGGGGGTTGTTTACATCAATACGGCATCTTGTTGATCCCTCCGCCCTGCAAGAGTTTTGCTAGCCTGGTGATATTTTAGGGAATAAAAAAAATTATTTCTCGCTACAGGAGTAGGATAAAATAAAAGTAAAGCTGGGATATCCTCTAGAGGGGGAGAGTTGCAGCAACATAGAACCCTAATTCACTCATGTTTCCTGGCCCACTCATTGTGTCATGCTGTCAGGGGGTTATACAGATAACAGTTTTTACTGGCTACTGATCTCCCAGTCTGAGGAGGGCTGCACCCCTAAAGCATCTTCTTTTGGTTGTCTCTGTCCTTGTCCCCTGGGCTTTCCTTTGGTTGTTTCCTGAATCGCTGGAGAGTACATACGATTTTTACTGGCTATGGTAAAAGTACATTTACAACTGAATTCTGGGTAATTGGTTAAATACTCACTTAAACATATGTGCACTGTTGTACAAATCCTTGCTAAAGATTTGTAATTCTGTTCAGCCAGGGTTATGATTCAGACTGCATGGTGGCAGCACAGCTTAGTCAGGAACACAACTTCCCCTGATAATTAGGCAGTTAGAGAAAAGTAGTATACTTCAGTCCTTTGCTCTGATCTGTCCTATTCTCAGCATTCTCCCTATTGGTACAGGTGTACTGCAGCAGCGGCTGATTGGCTCCTAATGCCGGCCCTTTCTCCTCTATTCAAAGTGTTGCTGTTCAGATATTTACAAGAGATTACTTTAAAAAATAAGTAACTTAGACTTTTTGCATATAACAATACATTATATTGTTTCATTTTGTAATTTAGTATTTTTTATTATCTGCCTAGATTTAATCTTAAACGATTTGGCCATTAGCACATTGGATTAAAGGGTTTTATATATATATATATATATATATATATATATATATATATATATATATATATATATTATTTGTAAATAAAAAAAATAATGTTTTTAAATAATTAATAAAGGTTACTATAATTGTATTAAACAATTACAGTATTAAAAACAGAAGCACATTGCCATCTACAGTGGCCTCTGAAAGCTGAAACGGTTTGTTTTTTTTTCAACCACTTGCCTACCAGGCACTTATACCCCCTTATTTACCAGGCCAATTTTCAGCTTTCAGCGCTGCCGCACTTTGATTGACAATTGCGCGGTCATGCAACATTGTACCCATATGAAATTTTGATCATTTTTTTCTCACAAATAGAGCTTTCTTTTGGTGGTATTTAATCGCCACTGGGCGCTTTACTTTTTGCGCTATAAATTAAAAAATTGCAAAAAATTTGAAAAAAAAAAAAAAAAAAAAAAAGTTTCTTTGTTTCTATTGTAAAATTTTTCAAACAGGTAATTTTTCTCCTTCACTGATGTGCGTTGATGAGGCAGCACTGATGGGCACTGATAGGCGGCACTGATGGGCACGGATAGGCGGCACTGATGGGCACGGATAGGCGGCACTGATAGGCAGCACTAATGAGGTGTCACGGATAGGCGGCACTAATATGCAGCACTGATAGGCGGCACTGATAGGTGACACTGATGATGGGTACTGATAGATGGCATTGACTGGCATCACTGCTGGGCACTGACTGGTGGCACTGACTGGCACAACCGCTGGACACTGACTGGTGGCACTGACTGGCAGCACTGCTGGGCTGCACTGGTGGGTGGCACTGGTGGGCAGCACTGGTGGGTGGGCACAGGTGGGTGGCACTGGTGGGCACAGGTGGGTGGCACTGCTGGGCACAGGTGGGTGGGCACAGGTGTGTGACACTGCAGAGTGGCACAGGTGGGTGCACTGCTGGGCACAGGTGGGTGCACTGCTGGGCACAGGTGGGTGCACTGCTGGGCACGGGTGGGCGGAGCTAGTGGGCGCACTGCTGGGCACAGGTGGGCGGAACTTGTGGGTGGCACTGCTGGGCACTGATCATCAGTGCCCTGATGATCGGTGCCGATCCTCGCTCTGACAACTGCCGGTTCTCGGCAGTACTTTCCTCACGATCTGACAGCGTGAGGAAAGTGCAGCCGAGAACCGGCACTTGCATTTCCCTGTGATCAGCGTGTCATTGGACACCGCTGATCACGTGGTAAAAGGCCGGTATGATTGGCCTTTTACCACATCACGTGATCAGCTGTGTCCGTAGGACACAGCGATCACGGAGATCGCCAGGTGCGCGCCCCCTGGGGCGCGCAGGAGAGCGTTCTGGGGGGACGTCATATGACGTCCTCCCAGAACTGGCCGGCCGCAGTGCAGCCGCCATTCGGCTATCTGCGGTCAGCAACTAGTTAAATGAAGCCTTCAGCTCACACGTGATCACTACTATATGTCAAAGCTGACATAGTGATCACCTGATCAGGAACCACTTTGATTTCTGCTCAATCATTACTTGGATCCAAAGCCATCAGTGACAACCAAGTATGAAGGTTAGCAGTCATGCAAAAGCGTCACCTGTTATCTGTCAAATGAATTATATCTATTAATGTATTTTCAGGATGAAGCCCTGGTAATATACAGATTATACAGATATACAGTGGGCTGGAAGTAGCTACTACAAACCCCACACGTTAGCCATTCAAGGCAAAGCAATAGAAATATACCGTACACTTATCTTTACTTTGCTCCTTCACTACTCCTTTTACAGCATGTGACTAATGCACTCTCACATAGGAGATTTTATCCCTGCATAAGCCAAGACTTTGGTGAATTGCAGCTTACACAAGTCTTTCCTTTAACTCTCAGGGCCTGAATGGAGCAGTGGGGGAGTAAAAAGATGGTTAATTTATGCGGCTGTGGGGATCTGGATTAACACAAACCTGCTGCTTTGCACTGTTTAAAAAAAAAAAAAAAAAAAACTCTGCCCCTGCCCAGTCTTAGTTTGTTCTGGACTCTTCTGTCACTTATGCTGGACAGTTTGCTTTGCAATATTAATGTTAATAAAATAAATACCTTATCTTGCTGATGTTAGCCTTCCACTACATTGTGTGACCCGTCCACTGAAGTCTCGTTTCTAACTTGCAGCCAGTGGGCACACTTTTACATCAGAGAGGAGAAGAGCACCAGAGCATATAACCCCTTGCATTTCATATGCGAGGGGGGTTATAAACATTTCGGAGTTCAGCTTTAAATTTATTATAGTTTAGCTTTTATTCTTTTATTTAATTCTCACTTAGGTGTTTGGTTTAAGTTTTAACCTAATATACTGAAGGCTTCAGACTTTGGGCTTTGCAGATACCACCTTCTTTGTTATTTTGCATGTACTAGGAAACCAAGCCTTTAGTAGCTAGACCACACTGATTTTTGTTCCCAACATTAAATGGAGAATTACAAGCTGCCTCATCTTCCGTCTCAAAGATTTTCCTCCCCAGAACTCTCAGGCCAAGACTAAGTACAGGTTCACATATATGTGGTTCAGAACCGCACTCGTGTGCAAATTACTCGCAAATTGGTGTGTGGTGCAATTGGAGCCAGACATTTTGTGTGGCTCTAATTGTGCCGCACTCGCACCAAAAAAGGTGCAGGAGCCTTTTTTTAGTCCGCACTAGAATCGGATCGCATGGGTACTCACACCTATCAGATCTGATTCTGCACATCGCACTGCGTTTTGCGGACCGATTTTCGGGGGTGTTAACATACATACTCGCAGCAATTTGCATGAACGGGGTGCGATCCTGATGTGGTGCAGAATTCGCACAGAAAAAAGCTGCGAATTCCGCACCGCATCAGTGTGAACCCAGGCTTAGGGTGCTAGACAACAAAGCTACAGTTTGTGAAAGAAGGGAGAAAAGGATTCATATACAGTTGGAAGCCTATTATACCAATAAACATATATTTAAATACACATGAAACACTTATTGAAGCTGCAGCCTCAAACTCTTCTCACTGCCTTCAGCAAACATCTCTTGAGGCTGCACATTTATTAGCTGAAGGCAGTACAATTCCTTAGCTTTCAGCTAAAGCACGGATCATCTTCTGTTAAAATTTCATACAAGGCTTCCAAACCTCAAGGCTTAGAATAATACACAAAGATGTCTAACAAGAGAAATGCATTCATCCTTAAAATGAAAATGGGATTCCTTTGTAAGTGATCAGCAATTTATCTCTGTGGAACTGTGTTATTTAATCAACATTCTATGATGCTGCAATCCATCTCTACCACATCGAATAGAGAAATCCATATGACCATGCATATACAGTATGCACATGCATCAACCAAAGGAATGCAATGAATATGCTACATTATTTGAACAATTCTATACAAAAAAAAGGGTCCGATTGGTTCAATGAACCAGGGGCTTGATATAAAAGCTGAAATAACAACAGTCAATGAGGTTTCAGCACCAGAGAAAACAAAACATGAAATCTGGCAGTTATAGGTATCTCCTCTACTTTTCTGTAAACCAGTTCCAGAAAGCTATAATCTCCCAATAAACAGGATTAAAAAAAAAAAAGAACCTGGCATGACTATGCACAGTTCACCGAATGGCAGCATAGTCTTTTGTGGGCAACAGTTACCTTGGCGCACGTACATAAAGAATATGAAGTGTAAGGATTTATATATTCGGGAGCTGCGGAAATTCAAACTTGCTGTTAATAACTCATAAACCACTTTTCCCAACGTATGTATTCTCAGCACTTCTAAATGTTCATTTGTAGAAGGCAAACCTCAATGTACTCTCCCAAGGGCTGCCCCATCTGCTGTGCGGAAGGAAAAAACAAGTTGTAATCAAAGTTAAGGATGCATGCTAAATGCTGCTTAGGATTTTATTATTGTGTACTGGGGTAACAGGCAGCCCTGTACAATGTTAATGTGTTGAAGTAGCATGCATTACTACCACCCGGCACACTAATCATAATAGGGTCTGAATGAGAATTCCCCACTTCTCTTTTCCAATTATCCTGCAAATGAAGGCCATTCATGGAAAGAGAAATGCCACAAATGGTTCCCAACTTATGGGGCAAGAGTTGAAGTTGGTACTTTGTAATAATACAAAGTTCCTAAACCCACATCATTAAAAACTATACTAATAAATGTTGTATTACATGCTGTTCATACTCAGTCACTATGGGACTAATTTTTCTGTATTCTGCATAAAACCTGGTTGATCCCACTGTTCTCCATCTCCCCCCACTGTCCACGTTCTCAATGCATTTGGGGATTTTGCAGAGGAGGGTTGGCAGCTCTGCACATGCTCAGTTTTCAATGAGTTTCTATGTTGAGCATTTCCTCCCCATCCCATCTGAGCAGCCCATGTGACTATAGAGTCACACATGTGGGCATATACATACATTGGTAAATGACAGCCCACTCTCTCCCTCTTCCTCCATGTTCAATAATCAGTGGGGGAGGGATATTACATCTTGATTGATGGAGGCTCTTATTCTAAGACAGGCTGGAGGGGTGTGACAAAGCTTGTGACTGTAAGAGATCTGCCCACATCATGTTATTGCCAAAAAATAATAAAGATTTCATTTAAAATATTATACTTGTATGACAATTTAAAACAGTTTATATTAATTATTTATTTTTACTCTGTATTCCAAAGGTTGTTTATTTATTTAGAACACGTGACCAACAGCAGAGGACTAGAAGCTCCACATGCTTATGTTTCCCTGCAGACAGGCTGGGAAAGAGCTGGGTCATGTGACAGCTGTATATCGATTAGGAAAAGGTACTTAGATATTTTTTTTATTAAAATAAATTACAGTGCCATCATCCATATACAGAAATAGAAGGGACAATTTCAATTAAACTAGGTGTTTAGTGTCAATTTAACTGATCTAGGTGACAGCGTAAGGATCAGGCACTAGAGGTCGAGTTTATGTAACTTTTATACCATAAATGACCTGCTATAGGTTCCCACAGCCAAGCTAGAGAGGCAATGGTCTGATTAGATGACAAATGTCCAAAAATGGTAGAGTGTTGGCCATACTGGGACAAGACTTAGAATGCAACGATAACCCTTGGGGAGGTGGTAAGCAGTGTGTTTGGACAAGCTCCTAGTATATCACCCAAATATGCTGCCATTATACTGCTCAATCTTTATTCATGGTAAGTTTTAATAGTGCTGATAGTATCCAGATACACTACAAATACTGTATTGATTGGTGTGCAATGTTTGAAAAGCACTGAAGCAAATAATATTACATCAATTTTTTAGGAGATAGTCAACCTGTACCTGATATTTATATGGTGCACTCCTATACACTATCTACTGAGGCTCACTGGTGGGTAACTGCCAATCCAACCTTGCCTGATCATTACTTTTCCTCCCTTTAAGAAGTCACTAAAGGTGACTGTAGTGTTTCCAACGTCTTACTTCATAGGTCTAAACAAAGTCAGGCTAACAATGGAACCATTTATATTAAGCGATCCGCTAGCCAGTAGATGGATAAGGGTGGTCAGATCATGCCGGCACATCCACGTGTCCTAAATGTTCTTGGACTAATTAAAGTGACCCTATTATTAAACCTTAATTCATTCCAAATACCCTAATCTCAGAATCTCTCTTCACCAGAAGACCAAACAACCATAGAAGATGACAACAAATGACTCACCTCTGACAGAAATGTCTGGGCTGACTTCTGTGCTCCCACGTGTAGAAGGTATTCATATACATATAGCGCTAATCTGCCAGAGAGACAAAATCATTTGTTAGCCATGTGCTGAAGTACATGGTATTATTACATTTAAAAGAAAAAACATTTAGTAAGAGTGCAATTAATTCTCCACACCAAGTGTATTAAACCCAGCTGACCCTAGGATGGCAGCCAGATTACTTTGTACATGGAACCTAAGCAAATATTACCCACATTACAAGTGTTCGGAATATTTACACAACTCCCTCAGTGGATTAGTTGAACATTTTCATACTGACATAATTTGACCACCAACATTCCAGAATCAAATCCAGAAGCCAAAATGTTCCTTTTCTGGATACGGTTATATGCTTAGTAGTTGTATGAGGTAAGGTTTTGTTAAGGGGTTTTTCTAAAAAGAATACAATATTTCGTATTATGTAAGTTGGCATAATAACAGGAATGATTTGGGGTTTTTTGTTTTATTTAGCATTACATTGATGAATTTGGTTAAAAATGTCATACATAGAATAAATTAGACTCCCCCGCATTCTATTGGCTGGGTTAGCAATTATTTATGCCTCTTTTACTGAAAGCGATGCTCTACAGACACTCATAATACCAAAGTAATGTGTACAACACTGAGAATTAGACTGAGAAAAGGAATCTTGTGATTGATAGGAATTGACAGTAAATCAATCCAGTATTCTAAAAATATTCCACCCATTGATAAACTGGCTACATTAAAATGTACGTAAACTCAGGGAATAGGTGCCGGAATTCCCCCCTTCTGAGTCACCCCTTGTATCCACCTACCTCTGAGCACCATCCCCTAGTTCCACCCGCTACCCACCTCCCAGCACCACTCCTTTTAGAGAATACAGAACCAAGTATCATTTTGTATGGGATTTGTTAAGCATAATAAGAAAAACCATAAAATAGATCCCCTGCAGCCAGCAACAATAGCCAGAAACCCCCCCCCCCCAGCAACAATGGCCCCCACAACAAAATACCACCTCAACAGCAACAGACCCCCAGCAGCAACAACAGATCTCCCACCAGCAAGCAACAATAGACCCCTCTCTTGACAGGAGATTGCTTCCAGCAACAACTGACCTCCCTGCAACAAGAGAGCCCTCTTTCCAGCAGCAATAGACCTCCCCAGCAACAATAGACCAACATGCAAAAGAAAGTTCCCCTCCAGTAACAAAAGATCCCCCAACCTCCAGCACACCCCACCACCCCTTGCCATTACATACATTCAGTGTTGGAAAAGTGGTCCCCTGCATTCCCACTGAAAAAAAGCCCTTTCTAAACCCAAACATATATTTTTCAGCAGATGCTTCAAAATGGTTTTCCCTGACTATTTGCAATGCACTCTTCTTTGAAAGATATGACAGTAACCACCTGGTGATCCTGCCAGTTACCAGTCCTTCCTTACTGACAATGGCAACTGCAAGCTGACCCTCAGGTCTTGTTCACACCATCTGCAGAGACCTACATTTTTCGGAACAAGAAATCTGCAGATTTCTGCAAGACACAGAAAAAACAATTGTTTCCTATGTGTCTCATTCACACGAAGATGCAGGTGTGATGCCTAGTGTGGAGCTGTGCGGGATTATGTAACACGGCTGCATTTTTCCTTACAGATCTGTACTGGCACACAGACAAAAAATGGACAGTACTGCTCTGCATTTACCTTGTGTGACAGGAGTGGGGGGGAGCAGAGCAGTACTCACCTACCTTCCCTCCTGTTGGATGCCAGCTGGGATCATGCTGACGCTCGGGTCTGTGTGTGATGGTGGAAGGAGGGTTGTTGGCAGGTGCTGAATTTGGGGGATAGATGAGGGGGACACTGAAGGAGGGGCCGCATGAGGGGGCACTAATGTTGGGGGACAGATGAGGGAGCGCTGATGGCGGGGGACAGATGAGGGAGCACTGATGGCGGGGGTCAGATGGGAGAGCGCTGATGGCGAGGGACAGATGGGGGAGCACTGATGGCGGGGAACAGATAATGGAGCATTCATGGCGGGGTCAGATGGGGGAGCGCTGATGGCGGGGGACAAATGGGGGGGGGAGCGCTGATGGCGGGGGACAGATGGGGGGAGCGCTGATGGCGGGGGACAGATGGGGGGAGCGCTGATGGCGGGGGACAGATGGGGGGAGCGCTGATGGCAGGGGACAGATGGGGGGAGCGCTGATGGAGGGGGACAGATGGGGGGAGCGCTGATGGCGGGGGATAGATGAGGGAGCACTGATGGAGGGGGTCAGATGGGGAGAGCTGATGGTGAGGGACAGATGGGGGGAGCACTGATGGCAGGGGACATATGAGGGAGCACTGATGGCAGGGAACAGATAATGGAGCGTTCATGGCGGGGTCAGATGGGGGAGCGCTGATGGCAGGGGACAGATGGGGGGAGCGCTGATGGCAGGGGACAGATGGGGGGAGCGCTGATGGCGGGGGACAGATGGGGGGAGCGCTGATGGAGAGGGTCAGATGGGGGAGCACTGATGGCGGGGGACATATGAGGGAGCACTGATGGCAGGAAACAGATAATGGAGCGTTCATGGCGGGGTCAGATGGGGGAGCGCTGATGGCGGGGGACATATGAGGGAGCACTGATGGCAGGGAACAGATAATGGAGCGTTCATGGCGGGGTCAGATGGGGGAGCGCTGATGGCGGGGAACAGATGGGGGAGCGCTGATGGCGGGGGACAGATGGGGGAGCGCTGATGGCGGGGGGACAGATGGGGGAGCGCTGATGGCGGGGGACAGATGGGGGAGCGCTGATGGCGGGGGACAGATGGGGGAGCGCTGATGGCGGGGGACAGATGGGGGAGCGCTGATGGCGGGGGACAGATGGGGGAGCGCTGATGGCGGGGGACAGATGGGGGGAGTGCTGATGGCGGGGACAGATGGGGGAGCACTGATGGCGGGAGACAGATGAGGGAGCACTGATGGCGGGGACAGATGAGGGAGCACTGATGGCGAGGGACAGATGAGGGATAACTGATGGCGAGGGACAGATGAGGGATAACTGATGGCGGGGGACACTGATGGTGGGGGTCCCTGATAAGGATTTTCTGATGAGCGGAAAACTGATAAGGAGGTTCTGATGAGGGGGTGATGACACAGGATGTCAATATGCATTAATATTCACTGAAATGCGCATGAAGACTGATGAAAACACATGTCTCTGCAAGTGAAATCTGCACGTTTTTCCATCAGTTTTTCTTGACATATGTTGTGAATGAAGACTTGATCTTTTGCTTTGCCACCCTGTCTGCATATGCTCCTGCATTCTCCCATTGACATGGCTCCCTCTTTTCCCTAGAAACACCAGCCTTCGTGACACTCCTCGAGGCCATGCAGGGCAGGTCCAGCTGCCACATACAGAACTGAACAAAGCAGGAGTATGTTTTGTGAGATTGCAAGATAAGTATCTATTGAGATTTACTGTAATAAGTGGGGTTTTTTTTGAGCCTATGTGACCACAAAAGCACAAAATTCTGTGTGGCCCCAGGGAAAACACAGCAATGACGTCTGTAGTATGTGTCACCTACATACCAGACGGTGCAGGGTGATCATGTGACCTCGGTAAGGAAGATAAAAAGAAGATCTGCAACTATATGGACCATTCTTTCAAAGTACAGTATTTAGTTGCTTCAGATATGGCTAAACTAAAGCCAATGGGTTTACATACACTAACTCTCCAGAATTTGACCAATTTTCCTCCCACTTGACCAGGTGAAGACAATTATTTTCAATGGCAGGTACCTATGGAAAAACTTTTCCCCAAAAAAATACATTTTCTTTGTCTGCAATGTTACATCTTTTTAAATTGATATTTAAAAAAAAAATGTGCTGGACATTTGTGAAAAGCTAGAATAGTGAGAGACCAGAATTTCCAGCAGCTTTATAAAATTGCTGCCTCTATGAAGACGGGTACATTTTAGAAATATTGCCCACTATGGCTCAAAGCCAACATGGTGCTGTTCATGGTATCAAATCTTATTTTTCTATCACATTCATGGATCACTATAAAACCCATGAACAAATCCCTGTGTGGGCAGAAATGACACATAACAAATCTGAGAAACGTATGCATTATCCCCCTTGACTGTCATAATAAAAGAGAAGGCCAGTAATTTTACTAACAAATGGCACATCCCCCCCACGACAATCACAGATACACATTTACAGAATGAATGCTATGTTAGAAAGGAACAATTCTATACCAGAAAAAGGTCACCTTCATTTTTCAAGCTTGCAGTTCATTATTCCACTGTATATATTGTTGTAGTGTATTATTAGTATTAAATGTATAATAAATCACATTTTATAAAGTGCGGCCTGTAATAATACCCATGACATAAAGATCTGGCAGAATGCACCATTAGGAACAGGCGAGTTACGTAAATACCCACACCAATAATTCCATCCAAAAACCACAGAGATCGTTCAGCCACAGTGTAAGGTGAACCTATGAACAATTTGAATGAGCAGATAGCACAAGGTGCTGTTAGCCAAAAGCCAGAAAGCCCCCTCTGATCCTGTTATGATTTGTTAATGAAGAGATGAACTTCTATACCATGCCAGTACACCCCAGAAAGTGCAGTTATTATCCAATATGAAAAAAATTAAAGTATATCTGAAGCCTTTTTTTTGTACAGAATATGGAATGGTGAAACCCCCTGCTTTTCTTGTTATTGTAGGAGATTTTCCTTCACTTCCTGTACCACTGACACAACAGAAGGCCCCCTCTTATTCCCTATGAGGAGATTTCCCCTCTATGCCTGTTGTGGGGACAAAGCAGAATTTTCGATTTTCCCCCACTTCAAAGTCCCTGTGCCAATGGTCATCCAAACAAATAAAACAAGAGAATGTCTCTAGAGACAGAGACAGCAGTAAAGGCCAACAAGGGTTCTAACTCATTGCAACATTCAAAACACAAATTGAAAAAAGAAAAAAAAAAAAAAAATCAAAAAACTTTTTTTTTTTTTCTTTAGATACATTTATCTATGGAAAGCATATATTTGTTTAACAAGTTTTTTTTTTTTAAAAGGTTGCTAAATTGTAGCCCCCCCAAAATGATAAGCGCCGTTTGTGGCAGAGACACTGAATCTTGTCTTGCATTTCTAGATGCAGGTTGCTTTAGGGCAAACTCAAAAGAAACCGTGGGCTAAACTGAGAGGAATAAATGTGGATAGCATCACATAATGTCTGTTTAGGGCCACACCTATTTAAAGGAGATCTCTAGCATAAAAGAAACAAAATAGCCCCAATATCACCCCCTCTCCATCAATTATACATTTTGCACATTAATAAAGTCTCCAGAATAACCCAAAAGGGGTAAAAACATCATGATCGCATGACTGATCTGTCTATATCCCCCCTTACGTAGCTACAGAGATCCCATCATTACCAACATATACTCACTGTGAAATCTAATGGGTTAATCATCTGCACTGTATAAAGAGGTGGTTTGATCCTGTCTTCTCTGATCCTCGCCTTATTTTACGGTCCCCAATTCATCTGCCAAAGTACAGAGCAGCAGTGACAAGTCTGCACATGCTCTGTTTGGTGTGCAATGCTAGAGGGGTTTTTTTTTGGGGGGGGGGGAAATCAGCATAGGGCCAATCAGCACTGTCAACGCAGAGTGTCAGGGGTTATGATGCCTCATAGGACAGTCAGAGCAGCGCTGGGCCAGACACTGATAGAAGTCACAGGACGCTATATACTGATGATGAGAAAAGGCATTTGGCAGTTTATATTTACTAAAATAATTGAATTTCCATGTTCTGTGGGAAGCCAGATATAGTGAATGCAGGGTCCTGGGTTTAGTAATACTTTAAATTCCTAACCCCATAGCGGCCATTCAATGAAATTACAATTGCCAAACTAGGATGATTCTGAAACTTTGGGTAATCAGCAGAAGTACGAAGAATAATATTTTAGTGGCTGATGCCGATGGCCAATGACACCAATCTGGCTTTGAGTACATTTACCACACTAACTGCAGAGCATACATATTTTCCAAGACATTTACTCTACAAAACTGACCATGTTTTGACGCACAAAAATGGTCACCATACAAACCAATATCCCTAGTCTTGGTGTGAAAAATTGTGTAGGATACAAAAAAGGATGGACAGAAAATTGCTGGCTGTGGCATCAGGATGGTAGTTCTGTATCAACGTCCTTCAAACACCTTCCATTCATACACACAAATATCTCTTACAACATGCTTGTTAAACCGCAACTAATCTGAGGACCTGAAACCACCCTCCTACATAGAGCAGCATTAAAAATGTATGGGGAAAGACTGCTGATACAGCAGCAATAAGCAGAGCCAGAGGGAATGGGAAATAAAAACACATAAAATATAGCAGCATTAGCAATATGCGTCCCCAGAAGGATGCTTGACTAATCTGTGCAGAATGCCAAAAACATTTATCGTAGCTAGTTGTACAACCTCACTAGCTTTTATTTCTGAATTTTCTATTTAAATTACACTATGTAGTTCTACAATTCCACTTGTACCAAGTTTATAGACTAGGGGTAAATAAGAACCACAGAAAAGCAATCCTGTCCTATCGAAGAAGAACTTGAGGATTTCCAACTATTTTACCTGGAAGATGAAACGGCACAACACCAGTGATTTATGACAAGGGATTGCCAATATAGACTTCTCACTCTGTAGTTTGGGTAAGTCGGTCACCTGAATAATCGTCTGGTTTCATACAATACTCATTAATAAACACTGATCAAATACTGTGAAGCCGTATTAAAAAAAAAAACAAACAAAACCTCTTAAGTTTGTGGCCTCTCCAATGGACCTTAAAGCTTTTCTAAAGGATATTTGCTTTTTTAATTAAAATATTATACTCACGTGCTCTGTGCAATGGTATTGCACAGAGTGGCTCCAAACCTCTTCTTCTGGGGTTCCCAACCAACTCCTTTTCATAGCCTCTTGCTATAGGGGCAAATGTCTGTGGATCTATGGACACACACAGTACAGCTCCCCCACCCTGCTCCTAGCTCTCTGCTCACAGGATTTGATTGATAGCATTTTAAACTCAATTGAAAAAAAAAAATGTGTGAATCCTGATTGAAATATGTATGAATCTTTGGTGAAAACATTTATTAGATACACCCCTGGGTAAGGGAAGAGGATCGGTGACTGGGGCTACTCTAAGGACACAGAACTTTATTTTAACTAATTTCAAGGTGTACTTAAAGTGTTACTAAGCCCAAAACAGTAAAATCAGTCTGTATATGCAGTAAAGCATGCTTGTTATACTCACTGTGGAACCTAAGGGGTTAATCCTCTGCATTGTGTAAAAAGGCTGTTTGATCCTGTCTTTTCTGATCTTCCCCTTCTTTAGCTGTCCCCAATCCATCTCTCCCATAGTTAAAGTAGCAGTGGCAATTCTGCACATGCTCTGTTTGGTGTGTATTGCTATACAGTTATTTTTTTTTTGGGGGGGGGGGGGGGAGGGTGCATGTGATCAGTACAGGGTCAATCAGAGCTGTCCAGACAGAGGGTCAGGCGTTATGCAGCTCCATAGGACAGTCAGAGCAGAATGAAAACTCCCCCTACAAGATTAACCAGTGCTCAGTTGGACACTGAGAGAAAAGTCACAAGATTGCTATAAACTGCTTATGAAAGAAAAGGTATTTAGCAGTTTATATTTACTAAAATAATTTAATTTCCAAGTTCTGTGTACTGTGAGAGACCGGAGAGAGTGAATGCAGGGTCCTGGGTTTAGTAACACTTTAAAGAGTTTGAAATGTTTTTCTTTTAAAAAATAACAAACAGGTCTATATTTACCTGCTCTGTGCAGTTGTTTTGCACAGAGCAGCTCTAATCCTCAACATCTTAGGTCCCCTATTTGTACTCCTGACTTCTGCTCTTCCCGGCCTGCCAGCATAGGAAGCCACTTGATCTCAAGCCACGCTACCTGCATCTACAGACACAGACAGCAAGGCTCAGCCCTGCTCTCCGCTCTCTCGTCAGAGGATTCGACTGACAGCAGAGGGAACCAATGGTTCCTGAAGCTCTCAGCAAAACTTGTGAGAGCAGGGAGAAGAAGAGAGCCATTACAGATGGTCACAGCTCTGGATCGAGATCGAGATCGGGCTCAGGTAAGCATACTGGAGGGTGAGGGGGTGATACACATCCTGAATGAAACATTTTTTACCTTAAGATGCAAGGAATGCTTTAAGGTAAAAAAAAAAAAAAAAGTTTAGACTTTACAACCAGAAAGAGGGCCCTTTTTGTCCTTTGGATTTTTAACAATTGGAAGGTTTTTTTAGGCAGTTGCCCACAGCACATCAAACATTCTAATAAGATCAATTTCCACAACAGTGAATACAAAGGAAAGCAATTATTCAGTCTAAAAGATAAAATCCATTTGATTTGAGCTCACAACAACAATTTAAAATGATATCAGAATTTCATCTGCTATACTAGAAATATTCAAAATGAAAAGCACCCAGCCTATAGAGCCAAAGATAAAGAGAATATATTACCTCTGATTACAAGATTGCACTTGATTACAACCTACAGGTGCAAGATATGCAAATACACTTTCACACTTCATTCTACATGCAAATAAAACACGCAGACATGTCAGACTTCTGGTTAAGCAATTTCAAGGTTGGCGTAAATATGAGGAAATCCCTATATTTGGAGCACAAGCACTATCAAACACATTATTTATCTCTATTTATATGCATTTATTTCCCCAGCTGCTTTAATACCACAATATGAAAACAACTCTAACTAGATATATATTTCATTAGAGTAATACAATGTAAACACTTAGAACAGACGGTAAAAAAAACTGAAAAAAAAAGAGAATCACTTTACCCAACTAGTGGAAGGCTTTTTATTTATGAACACATTTTGGATTTGATTTTTAAAGGCCACAAAAAAGGTCAGGCTTGCTCCAAGCAATTACAGTTGTGTTAAAATACGCCATTATGACTACTCTACACAAAACAGAAATAATGCCATTGTTAAAAATGGACATTTATATGTTGGTTAAAGCGAAGATTAATTCACTTTAAATATTTTCATAATGCCTGAAATACCCTTGAAGTAATTTTCAGGTCTTGGTCCCCATTCAGACTTGAACTTAACATATAGGTGATTTTTAGGCTTGTTTATGTGCATTTCTGCACTTTTTTTTTTTTTAAGAGAAGAAAGTGCCATACAGGAGCTTCTTTGGGGTCAGATTATGTGTTTTGGGACCCATAGGCTTATCATGGTACCATCTGAAAAACACATATAAAACAACACGCTTACGTGCCAAAAAGGCCTCATTCTGCTTCAATAGCTCATGTACCTTTTTGAGGTTCAGGCACCTCAATGCTCCAATGTGAACAGGGACAATTTAAAAGCACTGGATTTGGCTTGCTGAGCGTTTAGGAGCTTTGAGCTTCAAGCTACATGTAGGTGTGAATGGGAACTATTTCTCATACTTATTACATCTACAGTTCATGAGATATTAGCATAAACAGTAAGTTGTAGATCTAAGAATAAATAAAATTATAACAAATGTGGCATACTTGGCATACTATGGCTCTATACGAAAATAATACATTTTAGTAAGAACATTAAACAAATAATGACAACAAAAGAAAGTAAAAAAACTGCAGTGCTCCCCTACATTGATAGTTGGTTAAAAAGTGACATCTTACATTGATGGTCAATAGAGTGCCGCCACATTCTGGTGGTCAGTGAAGGGCTTTAGTACACTGGTGTTCAGGGGGAAGAATGTTTTTACATTGGTGGTTAGGGACCCCCTTGTAAATAGCTGAAAAGATCATCAGCGTCATTGGTAGCTTATCTCAGAGGCATAAATGGCACATTGCTCAGGGAACACTAGCAACCTCTGGAAGAATCCTAGAATTGCATGGTACCCTGGCTGAGAAAGGCTGATCTAAAAACTAGTGCAGATTTTTCTGAAACACCCAAGAATCACTAACATGGCGCTTGCCTTGGGCAGCATCACCTCCCCCGGAGGAAGGGACACACGTGGCAGGTGACAGAGGATGGGGACCAGGTAAGGCACGGCCAGAGCTCAGCCATAGGATCAGAGAGAGGCCGCGGGCTGCTGGAGGGTGTAGGTAGAGATGGACTTTCATTCCCACACAAGGACCACACTTGGCTTTCCTGACCATGTCTTCGAGGATGGCCGGCTGCCTTCATTCCAGAGGTGAGTGCTGGAGGAAAGTCTCTCTCTCCTTTTTTAGATTTTGTGTGTGTCAAACCCAATTTTAGTGTTGCCTAGGGAAGCACGAAAACAAAGTACACCACTAACAGGTTATGTTTTCTAGACCTCTTCACAAAATCACATTAAAAAAGGGACGAAAAGGCATATTAAAAAAATAAATAAAACAACAAACATGTCATATTAGCCAGCCAGCCCGCCCAAATCCTCTTTCTTGGGTCCCCTGTCAGCGATCCAGGCCCTCCCCCTGCGCAATGCGCCCCACGCTCCATCCCCACTGGCTGCAATGACGATGGCCCCTGTTGCTCTGAGCCAATGAGGATGGAAAGAGAGTAGAGAATTTCTGCTCTCATACACATCACAGGATCGTGATTGGGCTCAGGTAAGTATAAAGGGAGCTGCAAAGAGAAGGTTTTTTACCTTAATGCAGAGAATGCATTAGGGTGAAAAACCTTCAGGACTAGTTCACACCATACGTGCATGAAAACTGACACGCAGATTTCACTTGCAGACATCAGTTTCCATCAATTTTCATGCTCT